CCCCAAAACCCCAAAACCCCAAAACCCCAAAACCCCAAAACCCCAAAACCCCAAAACCCCAGGAGTTTTATAAAAAATTGAACCAGAAATGAATAAAGTTGAGCATGATGATTTTAAATCGGTGGATTATCAGAAACATAATGATGATTTGGAAGAAAAGGTTCCAGATGTAGTGAATAGTATTCAGAAGAATAGCAATGAATCAGATGATTCAGAAGAAGAAGATTTACCTTCGTATATTATAGAGAAAGAAGGATATGCTTCTACTAAAGTATCTTATCAAAGACGAGCTTTGTTCAGAAAAAGTGTTTCATTGCAGTTCAGGCAAATGGGAACAAACTTATGCCAATTGGTCACTCCGATAGTATCTCTTTTGCTGATAATTCTCTTAAAAAATATTGCTGATGACAATATATCAGAGTATGTTAGTGCTCCAATTTATGATGATATACCGTATGTTTTGAATTTTCCTATTGCTCCAATTGGAGAAATGGGACTGGGATTGACCCTTACTTCTTGTGAGCAATGGTACATGTATGGATTTGATGATGATATCGACCAAGAAAGTAGAGACTTTTTCGGACATAACGAAGGGCTTCCTATATATTCTCCTATATCAGATGGGATGCTTGATGGAGGTAAGAACATTCTTCAGACTGCTTGTCCAAGCTCAGAAAGAGCAACTCCATACTTTAAGGAGAGAAATGCAAGTGAAACAATAAATCAGTATTTATTCAGAACATTGGAGCACCTAAATGAACAAAACATTGACTTCAAAGAGAGGGATAGTGTTGTTCCCGATTTAGACTTACTTCCTGATGGAGCGTTTAATATTTCAGAAGTCAATGAAAAGAGACTGAGATATAATGTGCAGGTAGATGATCTGAGGTATATTCAATATCATCGAAACAATGGAATCACCAAACTCGGTATCTGGAATGATTTTGCAAACAGGATAAGCTATTTCATAAGAACTATTGAAGGACAAATTTCAGCTGCTGATTTAATTAACAAAGCATATATTTCAAAGTTGTTTCCTAAAACCACTGTTTATACAGGAATCCAAATGATGCCTTCATCTCCATCTTTTACTCAGGAGATCATGAAAATGATTCATCTTCTTGGAGGTGGTCTATTTCCCCTATCTCTGTGCTTGTTGCTTCCTGTTTTCATATATAACATTGTCCTAGAGAAAGAACAAAAGCTAATAGAAATTATGAAAATGAACGGACTAAGGATGTACAATTATTGGATAATTTCATTTATTATTGACATGATTCTCTACATAATCACAGTCATAATCTTCATATTGTTTGGTAGATTCGTACTTCAGCTATCATTCTTCTACGAAACAAGCTATCTTGTTCTATGAGTATTCTTCCTAGGATGGGGCATATGCCAGATCTCGTTAGGATTTTTCTTCTCTGTCTTCCTAAATCAAGCTCAAACAGCGTCTATTGTTGGATATTTATTTTCTATCTGGATAACACTGATTGCTATCTCTCTGAATATTACCATATTTTCTCCTCCAAAGGAGATGTCTTGGTGGCTTATGTTGTATCCTGCATTCCCTTATACAAGATTCTTCTTTCTAATTGCAGTTGCTTGTGGAGATGAGAAATGAGTCGGAAGTTTTAATGATCTGTCTACTGAAGCAATCAGATGTCTGTCTCTAATGTATGCAGAGGCGATCATTTTCATGCTAGCTGCTCTATACCTCCATCAAGTTGTCCCACAGACATATGGAGTTCCAAAGCATCCGCTATTCCTATGTAGAGCTATGAAATGCAAGAAGAAAGTTCATATAGAAGAAGAATTTAGAAGATCTGTTCACGAAGAAGAGAATTCTCAAAGTGATCACCCAGAAGAACTAGTCAATGAAGATGAGGACTCTAAGAAAGAGAGAGAGGAGGTTTATAACTTAGATAAAGACAGTTATCACAAATATCCATTGATAATTAAAGATATTAGAAAAGTGTACCCAGCATCTAATGGGAGACCTCCCAAAGTTGCAACAAAGAAATTCTGTCTCAGGATCAAAAAAGGAGAAGTCTTTGGCCTTCTTGGTCCAAATGGGGCTGGAAAGACGACTCTTATTTCTATCCTGACTGGGCTTTATAGGCCCGATTCTGGAAATGCATGGGTAGCTGGGTTTAATATCAGGAATGATCTTGAGCAAATCCAGCTCCAAATGGGTGTTTGACCCCAATTCGATATTCTCTGGTCAGATTTGACTGTACAAGAACACTTACTATTTTATGCAAGACTCAAAGGAATTCCTCCAAAAGAAGAATCAGAGAAGGTCGAAGAAGCCATGCAAGGAGTTCTTCTAGAAAAATTTGCTAAGTTCAAAGTTAGCCAACTATCAGGAGGAATGAAGAGAAGACTATCTGTAGCAATTAGTCTTGTTGGCGATCCCAAAATTGTCTACTTAGATGAACCATCAACCGGACTTGATCCAGAAAACAGAAGACAATTATGGGATATACTCAGTGAAATTAAGACATCTAAAGCCCTTATGATAACAACCCATTCTATGGAAGAAGCAGATGTGCTTTGCCAGCGTATAGGTATTGTTACTGAAGGTGTGTTGAGGTGTATTGGGCCTCAAATCAAGCTCAAGACGGAGTATAATTTATACATCAACTGCCATAACGAAGAAGACCTTATTGCTCAAAAAGATCAAGAACTATCTGGGCCTCTGGACCAAAACTTGTATAATACTAGAGAGGAGAGTAAGACTGGAGGCTTCATTCAGCCTTCTTCTAATCTTATGAAAACTCATGATACGGTTACCAAATTTTCCGACCTCACCTTTTCCACTGTTAAAACGTTTATCTTCAAATTATTACCAAATGTCTCCCTTCTGCAAGAGTTCAATGGGAACTTCATCTTCCAGATTCCTATAGAAGGGTTTGATGCAATCAAGCTCTTTTCTGAGATGGAGAAGAATAAGAGATCTCTTCAAATTTCAGATTGGGGCATATCCCAATGTTCATTAGAAGATGTCTTCACTAGAATCTGCGATCCTAAAGAAGAGCAGAAATCATAAATATTTATATACAATCTTATATATCTCCTCTGGGGTTTTGGGGTTTTGGGGTTTTGGGGATTTGGGGTTTTGGGGTTTTGGGG